CCTAAATGTTTTAATGCATGCATGTCTGTTTTTCTGATTAAAATAGAGTACTGGGAAATTTGGAAGTGGAGTTTAAACACAGATCAGCTGCAGTCATCTGCAGGTCCCCTCCTGAAACACAACTCTCAGGCCGTATTGTAACAATGTGTGTAACTGTCCTTAACTATCTCTCAGGGCTTTTGTGAGAAATAGAGGACATAATTCTTAGACAAATCTATTTAATGTTTTCAAGTGGCAAATGGCATAAAATTCATGGGCATGTTATTTGATAGTAACGCTGAAAGGTAAATTATCCATTGATGGAAACGGGTTTATAATGTCGGGAATAATCCACACCGAGACAATGGATGACTCAGCAAGGCTAGTTTACTTCTTGAAGGAGGGGTGCAACTTGCCAGCAGTCTTGCCATGAGAGCCCCCCTGAACAAAGGAGATGGGGACATTTAGAACTTTCATAACCTGATGCGATTGCTCTACTGCTGTGTCCAGCTTCCATTGGCCGGAACGAGATGCCCAGTTCTGTTCAGACATGCTGGAGCAAGCCAAGGTAGCTGATTTGAGATGTAGCTGATTTAGAGAATACATATACATGAGTATATGTTTCTGCTAATAGTGGATAATGGTCATAGAGCAAGACATTATAATTCCTTATAATGTAGTCTAAGATATGAACTTTGAAGAAGAACTTTACTATCTCTCACAGTTCCCCTCCTTTTTATTTCATAATTCTTCTTCAAATGTATTGAATAGGTCCTTGCTTCATTGTTCGACTTGGTCTTCCAACAGAATTAATTTCTATGGATAGGATGGACGAGGATTTGGAGATAGGTTAGTGAGGATAGTATTAACAAGCCTTTGCCTGAGTCCTCGAACACAGAGTATAACACAACATCCTACAAGAAGTGTACGTAATACCGCTACCAGGGAAGTGCAGACTGATGCCACACTGTCCTTCCATTTGCTGAACTCTTTCTCTAGCCAGTTTGAAATGGGGTTATTTATTCCTGAATTTTTAGCTAGTTCATTCGATAGGGTCATAAGTTCCTGTAAGGTTCTCATGATACGTCCATCTGGAGCTGTGTTATTTGGATTGAAAGTACAGCATTGGGTCTTAATCATTATGCAAATACCACCCTTTTCAGCTAACATCATGTGAAAAGCAGTCCTGTTTTCCCATGCCATTTGGCTGGTAGACCTTAACTGTTCTGCAATTCCCTTAACAGCATACTTGGTATAGTTAATCAATCATTGTTGATTATAATAAATATAATTTATCCAGTCTACATTTTTATTTATTGTCACCCAGCAGAATAGTGTTGGTTCAAATTCAGCAGCTATCTGATCTCTGGCCTTAAATTCATCTGAAACGCCTCTTGGGATCCTGATTGCATCTAAGTACACATGAGAATCGAAGGACCCATATGGGGCTCGTCTTGTATGTCGTTGGTGGGTTTCCTTTATCTTTGGTTGATGAAATGCCAGGGTAAAACGGACAGCCAGTTGGAGGAGAGTGCAAGTACCACTCCAGTTATTTGGCAGAGTGTCCAGTAAGGGTGCCCACAATACCACCGTACATCCACTCGGGGATGACTGATAGAAGGCTGATGGGTCAGCTCTCGGAAGTGCCTTGCTTCACTGCATCCTGTGAAATTTCCGAGGAACATTGAGTTGTCCTGCTGTGAGAGGCATGAGGCAAATCCTACCTCGGAAGATGGAGGTTGAGTGGCCCTTAGGGGCTGACCCCGGAGGGTGCCGAACCTCAGAAAATAGCAGAGAAAGAATTTAACACAATTTTATTCCAAGAGTTGGAATTCTGAGAAAGAGCTACTGTGCATTCCATGTCTGCTTGACTTGAGGACCATCCAAGTGGAAAGGGGACAACCTGGGCCTCTGGCCTACTGTGTGCACAAGCGTAACAGTCACTTTTATTTAAGGTGCAAATGGAATATTTAACCCATGCTAACCAGCCATTTGCATCCTTATATCCTGTTTCAATCGCTATGGTTTGCCTTAGGTTTTCTACTTCTACCTTTGAGACTTTGGTTTTGTCATTGTGTCTAGGAGGAGTGATTGATAAGAGGTTGAAGGAGCAATAAATGCATTTCAAAAATTTCTTTTGGATCCTTTCCTGAAATGTCAGCTCCTATACTACAAATATGACTTAATGAAGGGGAAGAGTTTTCAGATGTTGCAATAACGATAGTAAGCTGTATAGGATTACATTGGTTATTTTGACAGCTAGAAGGAGTAATTCCTTTGTGTGGATATATAGTTTTAAGGACTGACGAAGACCTGTGGAAGCAGGCTATCCTAAACCTTTAGTGTTCCATATGACATTAGACTACGCAGAACATAGAGATTCTGTTTTATAGGGCTAAGAGTCTGATTCCTACCAATTAATACAATTACTATTCCTTGGATTAGTAGTATCCTTAGAGGAACTCATTATGTCTTCCTCACCTGAGGAAGTCTAAGAGGGACAGAGAGCAGCAAGCTGTCCTTGGTTATGCACATCTCCACAAGGCATAACTAAACAGACATCAGAGCAACAACTTGAGGTGAGCCAGATCTAATCACATTAATGACACGATGGCTAGTAAAGGAAAGAAAAGAATAGACTAAGCTTTTCTTAGCTTTAACCCGGAATAATAGCCGATGATTCTAATAGTGATGGTGCTTTCTTGACTCGGGTGTGATGTGTCCGTCTCTTTTCTGTGCAAACGGCAGTCTTGCTGGCTAGCAGCATGAGTAGGGTGGTCTCCGGGCTGGTGCTGGTATACTGGAAATTCTAGGAGTGATACCTGTGCTAAGAGAACTTCTTTAATCTTTGTTAAAGAGCAGGTTAGTGCTTTAAGAAAAACCCATTGTGCTTTTATTTCAGTGTCCAATTTAAATAAAAACTGGATGATACCTCTTTAACTTTAGCTAAGATGTTTACACGCTGAATTTCCTTTACGGTTAATGTTTCAAAAGTTGTTTAAACTTTCAAACAAAAATTATGCAACACTTCTTGCATAAGTTCCTTTTTATAACATTTTTCACAACTGTCATAGATAATCTTTTTTTTTTTTTTTTTTTTTTTTTTTTTTTTTTTTTTTTTTTTTTTTTTTTTTTTTTTTTTTTTTTTTTTT